GGTGTCTGTACTCACATGTGGCGGCTGTGCTTGGTGGCAGCGTCCTGTTGGTGGCAGGGGGGTACAGTGGCCGGCCCCGTGGGGACTTGATGGCCTACAAGGTGCCTCCCTTTGTGTTCCAGGCGCCTGCTCCAGACGTGAGCACTGGGGTGATAGGGAGAGGGTGGCTGGGGAGGAGGTAGCATGTTTCCCATGGTTAAGGGAGGAAGTTGGGGGCGTCCCTGGGAGAAGGAGGGGAGGTCCTTAGGGCCGTGAGAGGAGGGAGGTCAGTCCCCAGGTCCAGCGGAGGAGGAATGGTGGTTCCTGGAGCTGAGGGCAGAGGGGCAGTGGTCCCTGGGTCTGGGGAAGAAGTGGACAGGGGTCCTCAAGGTTCTGAGCAGTTGGGGTTCCCTGGGCTCATCAAAGTGAGCGAGGACGTGGGAGCAGGCCCCAGGTCTGAGGCGCCTCCTCGTCCCTGCCCATCTCTCTACAGTACCACCTGGACTATTGCTCCATGTACACGGACCACAGCGTCTGCTCCCGAGACCCTGAATGCAGTTGGTGTCAGGGAGCCTGCCAAGCTGCCCCGCCTCCTGGGACTCCCTCGGGGGCCGTGAGTGACTGTCCTAGCACTGTGCCCCTTAGCACGGAGACCTGGTCCTCCGTGTCTTCTTCTGCCCAGACCTGCGCTTGGGAGACTCGTTTTCACACCTGAGATCAGCATTCCTGACTACTGACCCTTGAACCTTTGACCCTCTTCCCGATCCTTTTGAACTTACGTCTCTGTCCCTGGATCCCCCACCCCTGTCCTCTGGATCTTTCTCATTCCAACCCAGCTTTCAATTCCCTTCTCCAATCCCCTGACCTTTCCGCCCCAAGCCTCCTGAATCCACAGCTTTTCCCAGGTCCCTTAAGCCCCAGTGGATAGTGACACCCGTCTTTCCCCTCTCTGCAGTGTCCGGCTGCCAGCTGCCTGGGCCTGGGCCGCCTCCTGGGTGACTGCCAGGCCTGTCTGGCGTTCAGCAGCACCGCCGCTCCTCCCCGGGGGCCCGGCGCCCTGGGCTGGTGCGTACACAACGAGAGCTGCCTCCCTCGGCCTGGTGAGTGTCCAGTGGCAGTGTGGGAGGGGGCAGCATAGCACCCCACACCAACCCCCATCTCCCGACCCTCCTGTCCTCACAGAGCAGGCCCGCTGCCGAGGGGAGCAGATCTCAGGCACCGTGGGCTGGTGGGGGCCCGTACCTGTCTTCGTTACCTCCCTGGAGGCCTGTGTCACCCAGAGCTTCCTGCCTGGCCTGCACCTGCTCACCTTCCAACAGCCGCCCAATGCCTCCCAGCCTGACAAGGTGGGGAGCCAGGGGAATGGGGCCCAGTGTGGAGTGTTGAAGGGCTTGCTCTTAGAGTTTTCATTTTTCAAATGGATCTTTATCACTCTTGTGTTTACCCCTTAAGTCTTTACATGCAAGGGTCTGATTTTCCTTATTGGCCTAAGAAAAGTTTTAACTGTGGTGAAATGCACATAACATAAAACTTACCATTAGTGACATTTATCACCTTCACAATACTGTGCAACTATCACCACTCTCTAGTTCAAAAACTTTTTTTTTTTTTTTTTTGGCTGCACCGTGCAGCATTCAGGATCCTAGTTCCCCAACCAGGGATGGAACCCGCGCCCCTGTGGTGGAAGCGGGGAGCCCTAACCACTGGACCACCAGGGAAGTCCCCAGAACTTTTTTTTTTTTTTTTTTGGCTGCACCGTGCAGCATTCAGGATCCTAGTTCCCCAACCAGGGATGGAACCCGCGCCCCTGTGGTGGAAGCGGGGAGCCCTAACCACTGGACCACCAGGGAAGTCCCCAGAACTTTTTTTTTTTTTTTTTTGGCTGCACCGTGCAGCATTCAGGATCCTAGTTCCCCAACCAGGGATGGAACCCGCGCCCCTGTGGTGGAAGCGGGGAGCCCTAACCACTGGACCACCAGGGAAGTCCCCAGAACTTTTTTTTTTTTTTTTTTGGCTGCACCGTGCAGCATTCAGGATCCTAGTTCCCCAACCAGGGATGGAACCCGCGCCCCTGTGGTGGAAGCGGGGAGCCCTAACCACTGGACCACCAGGGAAGTCCCCAGAACTTTTTTTTTTTTTTTTTTGGCTGCACCGTGCAGCATTCAGGATCCTAGTTCCCCAACCAGGGATGGAACCCGCGCCCCTGTGGTGGAAGCGGGGAGCCCTAACCACTGGACCACCAGGGAAGTCCCCAGAACTTTTTTTTTTTTTTTTTTGGCTGCACCGTGCAGCATTCAGGATCCTAGTTCCCCAACCAGGGATGGAACCCGCGCCCCTGTGGTGGAAGCGGGGAGCCCTAACCACTGGACCACCAGGGAAGTCCCCAGAACTTTTTTTTTTTTTTTTTTGGCTGCACCGTGCAGCATTCAGGATCCTAGTTCCCCAACCAGGGATGGAACCCGCGCCCCTGTGGTGGAAGCGGGGAGCCCTAACCACTGGACCACCAGGGAAGTCCCCAGAACTTTTTTTTTTTTTTTTTTGGCTGCACCGTGCAGCATTCAGGATCCTAGTTCCCCAACCAGGGATGGAACCCGCGCCCCTGTGGTGGAAGCGGGGAGCCCTAACCACTGGACCACCAGGGAAGTCCCCAGAACTTTTTTTTTTTTTTTTTTGGCTGCACCGTGCAGCATTCAGGATCCTAGTTCCCCAACCAGGGATGGAACCCGCGCCCCTGTGGTGGAAGCGGGGAGCCCTAACCACTGGACCACCAGGGAAGTCCCCAGAACTTTTTTTTTTTTTTTTTTGGCTGCACCGTGCAGCATTCAGGATCCTAGTTCCCCAACCAGGGATGGAACCCGCGCCCCTGTGGTGGAAGCGGGGAGCCCTAACCACTGGACCACCAGGGAAGTCCCCAGAACTTTTTTTTTTTTTTTTTTGGCTGCACCGTGCAGCATTCAGGATCCTAGTTCCCCAACCAGGGATGGAACCCGCGCCCCTGTGGTGGAAGCGGGGAGCCCTAACCACTGGACCACCAGGGAAGTCCCCAGAACTTTTTTTTTTTTTTTTTCCTTAAGCTGCTCTGGGTCTTAATTGCGACCCACGGGATCTTCGTTGAGGCATGTTTTGTTTTGTTTTGTTTTGTTTTACATTTATTTATTTTATTTTTATTTTTTAAAAATTTTTTGGCTGCGTTGGGTCTTTGTTGCTGCACGTGGGCTTTCTGTAGTTGAGGCGAGCGGGGCTACTCTTTGTTGCGGTGCTCAGGCTTCTCACTGCGGCGGCTTCTGTTGTTGCGGAGCATGGGCTCTAGGCGCGCAGGCTTCAGTAGTTGTGGCACGCAGGCTCAGTAGTTGTGGCTCACGGGCTCTAGAGCACAGGCTCAGTAGTTGTGGTGCACGGGCTTATTTGCTCTGCGGCATGTGGGACCTTCCTGAACCAGGGCTTGAACCCATGTCCCCTGCATTGGCAGGCGGATTCTTAACCACTGCACCACCAGGGGAGCCCTGTTTTTTTGTTTTTAGTTGCGGAATGTGAACTCTTAGTTGCGGCATTCATGTGGGATCTAGTTCCCTGACCAGGGATTGAACCCTGGCCCCCCTGCACTGGGACCACGGAGTCTTACTCACCAGACCACTGGGGATGTGCCCCCCACCAGGACATTTTTTTTTTTTTTTTTTTTTGCCTCATGGCATATGAGATCTTAGTTCCCCGACCAGGGATTGAACCTGTGCCCTCTGCTTTGGAGGCACAGAGTCTTAACCACTGGACCGCCAGGGAAGTCCCCAGATTTCTTCTTGGCTCTCCTTAAACATTATGTAGCGCTGAGGTCTTTTATTTCTTCAAATTGCCATGAGTAGAAAAGTCAGTTCTCAATAATAAACATGGCTTGTGTGATTAAGGATTTCCCTTGCTGGAAAAAGGTGCTGATAAAACCATCTTTTGCTGAGAATGGAGGGAAGTGAAAGAACATTTTTATAACCCCAAAAGGAGAACCCAGATCCATTAAGTAATCACTCTCCACTCCCTTCTCCCCCTCGCCCCTGGCAACCACTAACCTTTTTCTTTTTCTGTATCTGGATTTGTTAACTCTGGATAGGTCACATAAATGCAATCATATAATACGTGGCCTTTTGTGTGTGACTCCATTCACTCAGCATAATGTTTTCAAGGCTCATCTGTGTTGTGGCATGTGTCAGAACTTTGTTCATTTTTTTAAAAAATTTTATTTATTTAACTGTGTCAGGTCTTAGTTGTGGCACATAGGATCTTTAGTTGCAGCATGAGGGATCTTTAGTTGCAGCATGCAAACTCTTAGTTGCGACCTGTGGGATCTAGTTCCCTAACCAGGAGTCGAACCCGGGCTCCCTCCATTGGGAGCACAGAGTCTTAGCTACTGGACCACCAGGGAAGTCCCAGAACTTCGTTCCTTTTTAGGGCTGAACAACATTCCATTGTATGGCCGTGCCATGTCCATTCATCAGCTGATAACATTTGGGTTGTTTACACCTGTTGGCAAGTTTTTCCTTTTAAAAAAAATATTTTATTTATATTTATTGGCTCTGTTGGGTCTTAGTTGTGGCACGTGGAATCTTTCGTAGTGGCGCGGGGGCTTTTTGTTGCGGTGTGCGGGCTTCTCTCTAGTTATGGCGTACAGGCTCCATAGCACATGGGCTCTATAGCCCACGGCACGTGGCATGAGGGCTCTCTAGTTGTGGCACACGGGATTAGTTGCCCTGAGGCATGTGGGATCTTAGCTCCCCAGCCAGGGATTGAACTGGTGTCCCCTGCATTGCAAGACGGATTCTTAACCACTGGACCACCAGGGAAGTCCCTCTTTTTTTTTTTTTAAATTGAGGTATAATTGACAAACAACCTTTTATTAGTTTTAAGTGTACAACGTAATGAATTGATATTTGCAAATATTGCGATGAAAACCTATTTTCAGTATGAGTGGAATTGCTGGGGTAATCCTATGGTTAACTTATTGAGGAATCATCAAAGTGTTTTCCACAGTGGTTCCTTATTAATTTTAAAAATAGGTATTATAGTCACATGGTTCAAAAACCATAATAGGGCTTCCCTGGTGGCGCAGTGGCTGAGAGTCCGCCTGCCGATGCAGGCGACACGGGTTCGTGCTCCGGTCTGGGAAGATCCCACATGCCGCGGAGCAGCTGGGCCCGTGAGCCATGGCCGCTGAGCCTGCGCGTCCGGAGCCTGTGCTCCGCAATGGTAGAGGCCACAACAGTGAGAGGCCTGCGTACCACACACACACACAAAAAAACCCCATAACAATGGGGACTTCCCTGGCATCCAGTGGCTAAGACTCTGAGCTTCCAATTCAGGGGACAAGGGGTTCGACCCCTGGTTGGGGAGCTAAGATCCCACATGCCGTGCAGTGTGGCTAAAAAAATAAAATAAAATAGAATAAATGAATCCTAGATAGTTAAAAACAAAAACAACAACACAAAAAAAACCCACAACAGTGTAAAAAGTTGTTGAGTGAAAAGTCTCTTCCATCTACCCAGTCCTCACCCCTCAGTGTGGGAAGCTGGCCTCAGCATGCCCGTAACTCAAGACCACCCTAACTCTCCCCAGAAGATCTATTTGGATTTCTTATATATCCTTCTGCCGTTTACCTATTCAAATACAAGTAAATGTGACATTTAATTATTTTTCTTTCTTGCACCAAAAGTAATATATTATCTACACTGTACTACCACTTCCATTTTTTTCTTTTTTCTTTCTTTTTTGTCTTTTTGGTGGTGGTGTTGTTTCCTCATTCTCCTTTTTTTTCTTAATGTATCCCTGCAAGCTTCCCATAACAGAACTTAGGAAACACCCTCTTTTTTTTTTTTTAACAGCTTCATAATGTTCCATTTACATTCTGATGCCGTAGTGTTACAGTTTATTTAAACAGTCTCCCACGATGAACACTTGGGTTGTTCCACTCTTTTACAATTACAAGAACACATACTAGCAGTAAATCACGTAGTATGTGCGTCGCTTCAAACGTTGGGTTTGGATCTGGACTCTTTTTTTTTTTTTTAAACATATATACTGGTTCATCATATAACAAAGAACATGGTACATAGGAAGAGGTCCAGAAGGGGCCTGAGCTTCTGTCCCTGTGGAGTTGGGGTGTGACACCCTCCTGGCACATGAATGTGTTTACTAACCTGGAAGGTCTCCAAACCCCCTAGTTAAGGGATCTGGACTCTTAGGGGCTTAGGTGGAAAGATGGGGTGTTGAGGAAGAAGATGCTGAAAGGTCCAGGGTCTTGGAGTTTAATGGGAGGTGGAGACGAGCAGGGGCTGGGACCCTGTTGTCTGCTGCCTGAGTCGGAGTCCCAACTCTTCTCCCAGAGTAACCGTGGGCGAGCTATCCCCCCTGCTTCTGGCCTCAGTCTCCCACTTAGTAAACTAGGGAAGGAGATTGGGTTGCCTGGTCTTTTCTAGCTCTGATGTGGCTGGAGAGGTGTGAGGACCATGGGGCGATGCAGAGAGGTCCTCATGCACGCCTCCCTCCTTGGCTGGCACAGGTCTTGATTGTCCGCAGTACGACCATCACCCTGACACCTAGCTCAGAGACCGACGTGTCATTGGTCTACCGTGGCTTCATCCACCCACTGCTGCCAGGAGGGCCTGGAGGGCCAGGGGCTGAGGACGTGGCCGTGTGGGCCCGGGCCCAGCGCCTGCACGTACTGGCCCGGATGGCCCGTGGCCCTGACACAGAAAACATGGTGAGGGTGCCTGGGACATGCAGGGGGCTGTTTATGGTAAATATGGGGGCTTGGAGGTGTGGTGGGGAGGAGGAATGGGGAGAAATCAGAGGCGTGGGATCTATCCTTAGTGGCGGGAGGGCCCTGGGGTTTTCAGTTGTGAACAGAACTGGGTGGCGGGGGGGGGGATTTTGAAGAAAGGGGAAGGTCTGAGTTACCAAGTCAGACTCCCCTGAGGAGGACGTGGGTTGCTGGGAGGTTTAGGGGCACTTGGAGGTTTTGGGGGTCTAAGAAACTCTGAGGCCCTCCTGGGAAGAGGAGGGGTGGGCGCTAGGTGGGTTTGGGGCTCTTGGAGGTTTCAGGGGGTCAGTGTGGGTGGAAAGGTCTGAGGCCCCTGTCTGCCCCTCACCCCTACTTCAGGAGGAGGTAGGGCGCTGGGTGGCTCAGCAGGAGAAGGAGACGAGGCGCCTGCAGCGTCCAGGGTCCGCTCGCCTCTTCCCGCTGCCTGGCCGGGGCCACAAGTACGCGGTAGAGATCCAGGGCCAGCTCAACGGCTCAGCGGGCCCTGGACACAGCGAGCTCACCCTGCTGTGGGACCGGACTGGCGTGCCAGGTGGCAGCGTGAGTACCCAGGTCGCCGGCTCTGACCCTGCCCCAGCCCCTGGCCTCAGATGCCCTGGACCACAAACTAACTCCCTTGACCCTGACCTCTTACTCCTTGACTCTTGAACTCTGGGCCTCCCCTTGAACCCCCGCCTGGACCCCAACATCTGACCCCCAGAGTCTGACCTGATCTCGTATTCTGACCCCTGCCCGCGTCTCTGACTCCTGCCCTCATCTTGCTGCCCCTGACCTCTGCCCTCCATACTTTGACCTCTCATCTCTGGATTTTCTCAAACCCTGATCCCCTTTTGTCTGCTGATGTCCTAAATCCTGACTTTCTGTGGGCCCGAGTTCTCAACCTTGTCTCCAGACGCTTAAGTCTTCAGCTCCAAACTCTAATCCCTATCCCAAACCTTGACTTGGAGCGTGGAGCCCCGCCCCTCATGTGACCCCCGCCCCCAGGAGATCTCCTTCTTCTTCCTGGAGCCCTACCGCTCGTCGGCCTGCGCCTCCTACCCCTCCTGCCTGGGCTGCTTGGCAGACCAGGGCTGCGGCTGGTGCCTGGCCAGCGCGACCTGCCACCTGCGCCAGAGCGGGGCCCACTGCGGGGACCGCGGGGCCGACGGCTCCCTGCTGGTGCTGGTGCCTGCCCTCTGCCCACTCTGTGAGGAGCATCGAGACTGCCACGCCTGCACCCAGGTGCCCACCAGGCCACAGCGGGGAGGGCTCGGCACAGAGTCAGCCAAAGCAGGCGACTGAGCAAGGGGGTGGGCCCCCCAGAGCTGGCACGGGCAGCCGAGGGGCCCTGTGGGCGGCGGTGGGGCAGGCAGTCGGGGCCCTTTTCGTTTGTGAGCTGTGGAGAGGGGCTGGAGAGTCGGCTCCCGGCAGGCATGACTCTGCGTGCTGCAGGGGTCAGAAAACCCAGCTCAGCACCTCTGCACCAGAGGGGCATTTATCCCCGCAGACAGCAGAGTCCAGGAGCAGGTCTTTAGGCCTGCTCGCGCCAGAGGTTCAGACCGTGTAGTCAGCTCTTCACCTCCCTCCATTCCACGTTCTCGTTTTCCCTGGAGGTTCATTCCTTGGGAGTGGCAAGGGAGCCTCAGGGGCTCCAGACTTTTATCCCCCCACCCAGCCACTGGAGCCCCAAGGGGAAGGAGAGCACTTTTCTGTCGCCACCTCACTCTCACCCCTCAGTCCAACAGAAGTCTCAGAAGTGCCTTTCCTTTGCTCTAGCTGGGGCTTGTGCCAGCTCGTGGACCAATCAATGAGGCTGGGAGGAAGGAGAGTGTCCCGCTGCCCACCTCTGGACCCCAGGGATTGAATCAGCGCCACCTGGACCACATAAAGTGGTGCTACTGCCCAAAAAGGGAGTGGGTGCTGGTCAGGCAGAACCCATGGATGTCAGTGGCTGTAGGAAGGAGCTGGGCTTGGAACAGGGGTCTGTGGGCCCTGGCAGGCAAGGGAGGCAGCTGCCTGTTGAACTGGTGCTGGGAGACTGGCGCTGGGAGCCCCAGGGGGAAGGCTAAGCTGGGCTCTTATTCCTCCAACCTCCCAGGACCCCTTCTGCGAGTGGCATCAGAGCACCAGCCGCAAGGGGGACGCAGCGTGCAGCCGGCGGGGCCGGGGTCGGGGTGCCCTGAAGAGCCTGCAAGAGTGTCCCCCACTCTGCAGCCAGTGAGCCCAGCTGGGCCCAGGGAGAGGGTGTGTGAGGGTGTGTGGGGGCCAGGCTGTGGCGTGACCCTGTCCCTGCTCCCCGCCCCCAGGCGCCTGACCTGTGACGACTGCCTGGCCAACTCGAGCCAGTGTGCCTGGTGCCAGTCCACCCACACCTGCTTCATGTTCGCCGCCTACCTGGCCCGGTACCCGCACGGGGGCTGCCGAGGCTGGGATGACAGGTGCGGTCCGGGTGGCAGGGTTCCAGGAGGGGAGGGCGGAGACCAGGGTAGGGGGTGGCTCTGACAGCCCCACACCCATCACCCTGCAGCGTGCACTCAGAGCCGCGGTGCCGGAGCTGTGACCGCTTCCTGACCTGCCACGAGTGTCTGCAGAGCCACGAGTGTGGCTGGTGTGGCAATGAGGACAACCCCACGCTGGGACGGTGAGGCAGGGCGGGGGCCTGGGGGGTGGGGCCGGGTGGAGGCTCTCCGCCCACCCTGGTTCTAACGGCCCCTTTGTTTCTCTGCCCCTTTGCCTTTTTCTTACCGTCACCTCTGTTTTTCTCCCCCCTCTTCTCCTTCTCTGTTTCTCTCTCTCTTTTCTCCTGGCCAACTCTTGCCCTGTCTCTGTGACTTGTTTTCTCTCATCTTTCCTTCTGTTTTCTTTCTTCTTGTCTGTTTCTGTTTCTCTTCTGTCTCCCTTTCACTCTATCCCTCTCTCTCTCCTGTCTTTTAAAAATCCGTTTTTGTCTGGCTTCTCTGGGTTTTTCTCTGCCTCTCTTCCATTCCTCTTTCTGTCTTTCTCCGTATTCATATTTCTTTCTCTCTCTCTGATTGATCTCCCCTCTCCCTGTTGCTGTTTTCCTGTCTCTGTCTCGTTTCTTTATCATCCCCCTCCCCCCCCCCCCCCCCTTGCCAGCCACAAGTCTGTTCTCTGTGTCTGTGAGTCTGTTTCTGCTCCATAAACGTTCATTTGTGTCAAATTTAAGATTCCACATATAAGTGATATCATGTGGTATTTGTATTTCACTTTCTGACTTACTTCACTTAGTATGATAATCTCTAGTTCCATCCATGTTGCTGTAAATGGCAATATTTTGTTCTTTTTTATGTCTGAGTAGTATTCCATTACACCACATCTTCTTTATCCATTCATCTGTAAAGACCCTGTCCCCGCCCCAACCCAACCACCTTCTTCAACCTTGCCCCCCTCCCCAGTTGCCTCCAGGGGGACTTCTCCGGGCCTCTGGGTGGGGGTAACTGCTCCCTGTGGGTCGGGGAGGGCCTGGGGCTGTCTGTGGCCCTCCCTGCCCGCTGGGCGTATGCCCGCTGTCCGGATGTGGATGAGTGTCGCTTGGGCCTGGCGCGGTGCCACCTGCGGGCGACCTGCCTGAACACACCCCTCAGCTATGAGTGTCACTGCCAGAGGGGCTACCAGGGTGATGGCATCACATACTGCAACCGCACGTGAGTAGGGCATGGGTTTCCATGGAGATGTCGCCCCAGGGCTGGTGCATGCGGAGATGTTGGGAGGAAGTGATCACAGTGCTGGGCTGCCTCCCATGGCGCCAGCCTCTCCAGTGAGCCTTGGGTTTTTACCTTGCAGAGCAGGCCCTCATTAGAGTGATAGGGTCCTCAACGTAACACTAGTTAACTGTGGAGACAGGTCGCCCATGGACTGCAGGCCACAGGCTTCAGCGTTGCCATAGAAATGGAGGAGGATCAAGTTGAAAGGGGTTTTCACAGGGAACAGATCACCAGTGGTGATATTTGGTTACTATAGAGACAGGAGTTACTACATGTGATGGGGTTGCCTTGGAGACACGGCCACCCATGGAGTCCAGGATCTGTGGAACAGGCAGTAGCTTATGATGGTGTTACCATGGAGATAATGGGGTGGAATGGGGTGAGGGGGGAATGCCTTGGGGGCTCCAGGCCTACCCAGTCCTTCCCCCACCCCTGCCACGCCCCCTCAGGTGCCTGGAGGACTGTGGCCATGGCGTGTGCAGTGGCCCCCCAGACTTCACCTGCGTGTGTGACCTGGGCTGGACATCGGACCTGCCCCCTCCCACGCCTGCCCCAGGACCCCCCGCCCCCCGCTGTTCCCGGGACTGTGGCTGCAACTTCCACAGCCACTGCCACAAGCGGGGGCCTGGCTTCTGCGATGAGTGCCAGGGTGAGCAGCCCTCATCCTGAGCTCCTCGGGACTGCCTCAAGGGAGCCTCCTCGGGGCTTCTCTTTTCTTTTGTCTGTGTGGGGTTCTGCGTCCCCTCACCCAGCTCTGAGTCCCTCTGTCCCATTGCCTGCTCCTCACCCCAGACAGGTTTCAGTGCCACCCACCCCTCTGGCGGGCCTCAGTACTCCCTCTTGGGATTTGCAGTTGCTCCCCAGTCGGGGTTCCAGTTACCCTCCTTTGAGCCAGGCGGGGTTGGGGAGGGTCAGGCTCCTTCTCGCTCTTGCCCCTGACTCTGCATCCTGGCTTCTGGGGCCTCCACAGACTGGACGTGGGGGGAACACTGCGAACGGTGCCGGCCGGGCAGCTTTGGTAACGCCACAGGCTCAGGCGGCTGCCGGCCCTGCCAGTGCAACGGGCATGGGGACCCACGCCGAGGCCACTGTGACAACCTCAGCGGGCTCTGCTTCTGCCAGGACCACACTGAGGGCACCCACTGCCAGCTCTGCTCTCCTGGCTACTATGGGGACCCCCGGTGAGCCAGGGGCCACCCAGGCGGGGCGGGGCGGGGTTAGGGACATGGTGGGATGGGGCGGGACTGGTCTGACACTGGCTCTCCTCCGTCTCCCCAGGGCTGGTGGCTCCTGCTTCCGGGAGTGTGGGGGTCGTGCCCTCCTCACCAACGTGTCCTCCGTGGCACTGGGCTCACGCCGGGTTGGGGGGCTACTGCCTCCAGGTGGTGGGGCAGCGAGAGCTGGGCCAGGCCTGTCCTATTGTGTGTGGGTTGTCTCAGCCACCGAGGTGCTACAGCCCTGTGCCCCTGGGACCCTCTGTCCCCCACTTACCCTCACCTTCTCCCCCGACAGCAGCACCCCCTGCACGGTGAGCACCAAGGGCACTGATTACACGCCCACGTCTCCCCAGCCCAGTCTGAGTCTTCAGACGGACGCTGGCCCCCTTGTCCGTGTTTTTTCATCCATCAGACTCCCAGATCTGTTCCTCAGACCCCTACCCATTTGCTCCTAAGCCCACAGACCCTCCCATTTCCCAGATTGCCTCCTGTTTCCTGGACTCCAGTTTCCCATTCCCCAGTCCAGGTATGGTAAATATTGGTACCTTGTGTGCCAACTCTGATCGATTGGTAGTGGCTGCCAGGATCTTTGTGTTGAGAAAGAGGCTCCATGCAAGAGTGCCTGATTGATTATCCATGTCTGTTATGAACACAGGAGTGGGAATGGTGGCCTCCATGCCACAGTTTGACAGTCTGCCCAGGTGGTTCAAGCAGGCTTTTCCCCAGTCTCAGATTGCCCTCTCTTCTTGAGCTGCACCTCCTCCCAGACCCCAAGCATTCCTCTTTCTCATCCTCATCATCCCCTGATCCTACTCTACACCTCTCCAGCTGAGCTATGTCCTGGCCTTTGATGGATTCCCACGCTTCCTGGACACTGGTGTCGTCCAGTCGGACCGTAGCCTCATTGCTGCCTTCTGCGGCCAGCGGCGGGACAGGCCCCTCACTGTGCAGGCCCTGTCTGGTATGGGGACTGGGGGAAGTGGGATCTCTGCCCTGGGCTGTCCTTTGTCCCTGTACCTTGCTCCCTGAGGTGGGCTCAAAACCCAGCCTGACTCTGCCAGCTGACTTGCTGGGAGACTTGCTGGCAGCCCCTTGCCACCTCTGGGTCTCAGTTTCTTCAGCTGAGAGGCAAATAGAGAGGATTGTACTGGCTGGGTTGTGTCTCCGGAAAGAAGGTCCCATGTTTTGGGGACACACAGAACGTAGCTGGTGCGAGGGCCCCTGAGCATCTATCTCTTCAGCCAGCTGGTTCTCAGCCAGGAGTGACTTTGCCCCTTGGGTCATTTGGCTATGTCTGAAGACATTCTGATTGTCGTGATCGTGGCTGCTACTGGCATCTCGTGGGTGGAGGCCAGAGATGCTACTCTGCATCCTGCAGTGCACAGGCTATAGCCCCCACAACCAAGAATTACCAGGCCCCATTATGTCAGCTGTGCTTAGCTGATGGGGGTGCACTAGAAATGATTTGTTACCCGTGGCAGTTAAAGGGCCTAGGTTTGGAAATGCTTCTCTTCATTTTGTAAATCAGAGTGGCTCCAAGGCTGTGAGAGAGAGGGCAGAGTTGTAGTTGGCCTGATGGCGACTGCACACAAGCCCAGACCCTTCACAGTGAGCAACTAGAGCTGAGGGGTCCTCGATTTCATTTCACTCAGCAAATGTTTACCTGCAGTAAGCTGGGCCTGAGCTAAATTCTGGGCATGTAGCAGTGAATAAGGGACACAGGCACTGCCTTCACAGACTCACAGCAGAGGTGGGGAGTGACAAAGAGCAGGGAACAAATTGTAGTCAGAATAGTGACACTTGTGGTAAAGGGACAGGAGGAACTGGAAAGGAGTGGGGAGCTGGCTTGTCTGGGGAGTTGGGGAGGGAGTCTTTGCAGAAGGGAGATTTCACGGTGTGGGCAAGGGGCAACTAGTTCAGGTGGAGGAACAGCAGATGCCCAGAGGCTCTGAGAACAGGAAGCGGGTCGGTGGTGCTGCAGCGAAGAGGGCCGGGAAAGTGGGAGGTGATGAGGTCAGAGGGCCTGCAGGCCACCCCTCTCTTTTTTTTTTTTTAAATAAATTTATTTATTTTTATTTTTATTTATTTTTGTCTGCGTTGGGTCTTTGTTGCTGCACACGGGCTTTCCCTAGTTGCGGCCGGCGGGGGCTTCAGTAGTTGTGGCACGTTGCGGTGTGCAGGCTTATCACTGCGGTGGCTTCCCTTGTTGCGGAGCCCGGGCTCTAGGTGCGTGGGCTTCAGTAGTTGTGGCACGCGGGCTCCGTAGTTGCGGCGCGTGGGTTCTAGAGCACAGGCTCAGTAGTTGCGGCGCATGGGGTTGTTTGCTCCGTGGCATGTGGGACCTTCCCGGACCAGGGCTCGAACCCGTGTTCCCTGCATTGGCAGGTGGATCCTTAACCACTGTGCCACCGGGGAAGCCCCACCCCCTCCCCTCTTTCTAAATATCACTTTACTGAGGCCTTGTGACAAGCCTCTGGACTCTCTCCAACAGGGCTGCTGGTGCTGCACTGGGAGGCCAACGGCTCCTCGTCCTGGGGCTTCAATGCCTCCGTGGGCTCTGCCCGCTGTGGCTCAGGGGGCCCCGGGAGTTGCCCTGTCCCCCAGGAGTGTGTGCCCCAGGACGGGGCCGCAGATGCTGGACTCTGCCGATGTCCCCAGGGCTGGGCAGGCCCACACTGCCGCATGGCTCTGTGTCCTGAGAACTGTAATGCCCACAACGGGGCAGGGACCTGTAACCAGGTACAGGTGGAAGAGGGCAAGCTGGGCGGGACAGGGAGCCGGGTGGGGGTAATCAGGGCTCCTCCCGAGCTTCCTTCTGCTGTTCCCCAGAGCCTGGGCGTGTGCATCTGTGCTGAGGGCTTCGGGGGCCCTGACTGTGCCACAAAACTGGACGGTGGGCAGCTGGTCTGGGAGACCCTCATGGACAGCCGCCTCTCAGCCGTGAGTTGTGGATGCCCCTTGGCGGGGAGGCGCCATGCAGCCCGCTTCCTGGATCGTTCTCCCCATTCTACTCCCGAGACTACCCGCTAGACCCTAGACCCAGCCTGACAGTCTGTAATGGCCTTACCTGAGCCCTCCTCATGTCTGCATCCCACCCACAGGACACAGCTAGCCGCTTCCTGCACCGCCTGGGGCACACTATGGTGGAGGGACCTGAGGCCACCTTGTGGATGTTTGGGGGCCTGGGTCTGCCCCAGGGGCTGCTGGGAAACCTGTACAGGTGAGGACTGCCCTTGGGAGGTAGGATACCTGAATGAGAAAAGGTTACCTCAGGGGACACTGAGATGTCTCTGACACAAGAGTCCCTGTGGGGGGCGTGCAGGAAAACGTCTACAGGTGAGGGATACCCCAAAGGATGCTGGGACACTTGTCGCAGGAGGCTGACCTCAGGGACTGGGATACTTACTTGGGTGGTGCTACCCCAGGGGATGGGAAGGTGATTGTCATAGGAGGGTCACCTTAGGGGTTTTGGGATACCTGCCAAGTGGGGGGGTGATCCCAGGGGTTGCTGGGATACCAGTGTGTAGGGGGGTCACCCAAGGGCATGCTGGTATGACTGTATAGTGAGGCTGCTTTTTTGCATCTTGGCCCCAGGTACTCAGTGAGCGAAAGGCGGTGGACACAGATGTTGGCAGGAGCTGAGGATGGGGGCCCAGGCCCCTCACCCCGCTCCTTCCATGCAGCTGCCTATGTGCCTGCTGGCCGTGGTGCCATGTACCTGTTGGGGGGGCTCACGGCTGGGGGCGTCGCCCGGGATTTCTGGGTCCTCAACCTCACCACCCTGCAGTGGCGGCAGGAGAAGGTGAGCATCTCTCCCCTCCCCTAGTCCCCGCAACCAGGCTCTAGCAAAGATGACCAGAGCAGCTCCCGCCAGCTTTGCCCCCAGAGGAAGAGGATTCCTCCCAGGGCTCCAGCACAAGTCCCCGAGTTGAATTTCATTGGCCATTCTGGGTCACATTTAATTCCTGAGTCAATCCCTAGCCAAGGGGACGTGAGGCTCCGGTCTCCAGGCTGGGGCACAGCCCACTGTGGAGCCGGTACAGTCAGCCCCATGCAGCCAGAGAGCAGAGGAGCGAGGGCTTCGCAAAGGGTCCCCAGGCTACTCCTACCTGAAGAAGTGACACTGAGCAGGCAGAGACAGCAAGAGGTCTGCTGCTCACCTGCCGGGACCACGGCTGGCGGGGAGGCCTGGGGTCTGACCCGCCCCAGGCAGCTCACAACCTCCTTAGTGGTTCAAGGGGAGTTCGGGGAGCTCTGAGCCTTGCTTCTACCCACAAAATGACCCCTGACCTCTGCCCCCCCACCCCCGTGACCTCCACCCTTCATCCCCAAGGCCCCGCAGACCGTGGAGCTGCCAGCAGTTGCTGGTCACACCCTTACTGCCCGCCGAGGCCTGTCTCTGCTCCTGGTGGGTGGTTACTCCCCTGAAAATGGCTTCAACCAGCAGCTGCTTGAGTACCAGCTGGCAACCGGCACCTGGGTGTCCGGAGCCCAGAGCGGGACACCTCCCACAGGTGGGCCTGGGGACGGGGCGTGGCGGGGAGGGGGCGCTACGCTTTTGACTCCCAGCCATCCTCTCTGTCCACTCCTGTAGGCTGTGGTCACTGCCCCCCCTACCTGTTGTCTCCCTGTCTACCCCCATCACCCACCCACATTCTCAGGATGCTGCCCTTTGAGAAGTTCAGTTTATATACCCCTCCCAGACTTCATGAGAAGCTGCCTACCTCCTGCCCAGTAGCAGTGGGTCACTGTTTCCCTCCTCCAGGTCCTAGATCAGTGCCCCTCAGGTATTTCCCTTTCTCTCTCTCTCCTTCTACATTCTTTGATCACCATCCGCAAGGTCATTCTGGTCACCCTGTCTCCCTCTCTTCTCTTTCCCAGAGTCTCTTCAATGGTTGTCCTTTAGAACCGCAGGGAGAAGGAGGGGTTGAGAAAGGCTTCCAGGTCTCTGGCATCAGGGCCTGGTAGGGTGGCGTTGTGGTCATGAGAGGGGAGCCCAGGACGATGGGGAGCGTTCCTGATCACCAGCCCTTCCCCCAGCCTCTGTGCTCACTCATCCTCCACCCCCAGGTCTATATGGTCATTCCGCTGTGTATCACGAGGCCACTGACTCCCTCTACGTGTTTGGGGGCTTCCGCTTCCACGTGGAGCTGGCGGCCCCATCCCCTGAGCTCTACTCCCTGCACTGTCCCGACCGCACCTGGAGCCTGCTGGCCCCTTCTCAGGGGGCAAAGGTCAGGAAAAAAGGTCCAGACAGATGAGTGTAAGGGGCAGGAGGGAGGGGCCCCCCCTTTCCCAGTGCCCCAGGGACTGGCTCAGCCTTGGATTCCTACTCTGCCTCCTTTCCGGTACCCCAAGTCTCCCCTTCTTCTCTCTGTGACTTGGAGGTAAGAATCCTAGACCAGGAGGTCAGAGGCCTGGGTTCTGCCCAGCTCTGCCACACTCTGGGCGTGGCCGTGACAGGTCCCTCCCCTTCCTGGCCTCTCCAGCTGTGAAACGGGACACTGAGGCTCCTTGTGCTTCTGCCTTCAAGGCCAAAGGAGACAGTGTGTGGGAGAGCAGGAAACCCCGGGTATTACGCTGTTTAGAGACAATTGCATTTGCCATCCACAAACATATTCCCAGGCCCTTCTTGGGGCTGGACCGCAAGGGAGATGAAGTAAGAGCCCCAGCAGGATACGCCCTGGCCCAGCTGGCGAGGTCACCCAAGAAATGTGGGGCTCATCTCAAGCATCTGAGGCTGGGTTCCTGAGGAACAGCATGGGGTTTGGGGGTTCTGGGAGTTCAGGGAAAGGAGATGGCTGTGGAGACAGCTCTGAGGAATGAGGGAGACTTCCTGGAGGAAGGAGGTGAGATTTGAGGAAGGTTAGGATTGGGTGGGCTGGTAGGGGCTGGGGCGTGGGGAGGTTTGGAGTGGCGGGTGGGCTGAGAGGGAGCACGAAGAGCGGGTGACCGTGGGCTCTGACAGCCCGTCCTGCCGTGTGTCTCCCCATCAGCCCCGCCCCCGACTTTTCCACGCCTCAGCCTTGCTAGGGGACACCATGGTGGTCCTCGGGGGGCGCTCGGACCCTGACGAGTTCAGCAGCGATGTTCTGCTCTACCAGGTCAACTGCAACACCTGGCTCCTGCCTGACCTCATCCGTAAGTCCACCACTCTCCCTGCGAGGCCCCGGGCCAACCAGGGGGAGCGCTGGCCCTCTCCTGCGACTCTCACTCGTTAGGGGTCATTTGGGCCCTTTCAGGCCCACAGGCAAAGCTCCTGTCCTCTCCACGTTATCTAAGCACCCACGGAGACACCCTCCTTCTTTTTTTGTCTTAGAAAAGTTTTTAATTCCGTTTATGAAGTAATGATGGTCATTGTAGATAATTTGTAAAATAGGAAGGAAAAAATCCCCCATAATCCCATTCTCTAGAGGCAACGACTGTCATATGTGAGGGTGCTTCCTTCCAGTTCATAGGCTGGAAAGGGGTTGTATCTTGCCGTTTTATTTCATTTGACAGTCATTGTACCTGACTGACTGTGTGTGTGTGTCTCCGGGCCTGTCTCCTTTGCTTTTTGTTGCTTTCTCTGACCCTCTGTCTCTAACTCTCTTTCGCTCTTAATCTGTTTTTTCCACTATTCTGTGACTCTTTTTTTTCTTTTTGAGGATTTAAAAAAAATAGGTGAAATTCACATAACAAAACTAGTCATCGTAAAACGAACAATTTAGCGACATTTAGTACCTTCACAGTGTGGTTCTGCCACCACCTTGGTCTTGTTCCACAACATTTTTTTTTTTTTTGGCCGCGCCACGTGGCATGTAGGATCTTAGTTCCCCAACCAGGGATTGAACCTGTGCCCCCTGCAGTGGAAGCGCAGAGTCTTAACCACTGGACCGCCAGCGAAGTCCCCGGGTTCCACAGCATTTGTCTCTGTTCATTTTTTTTTTTGCGGTACGTGGGCCTCTCACCTCTGTGGCCTCTCCCGCTGCGGAGTACAGGCTCCGGACACGCAGGCTCAGCAGCCATGGCTCACGGGCCCAGCCGCTCCACGGCATGTGGGATCCTCCCGGACCGGGCCACGAACCTGCGTCCCCTGCATCGGCAGGCGGACTCCCAACCACTGCGCCACCAGGGAAGCCCATGTCTCTGTTCTTATTCCACTCTCTTCTGTTCCTTTTTTCTGTTTGTGTGTCTCTCCCTCTCTTTTGTCTTGCTGTCTGTGTCGGATGCTCTCGTCCTATTTGGCCTTATCTGTCTTCTCTCTGTCTTTCGTTGTCTGTCTCTGCTCTCCTTAGACTGTCTCTCCTCTCAGCACCCCTCTCTGACTGGTACCTTTGTGTGAATCTTGTCCTCAAGTCTCCTGCTCTCTCTCTGAACTTTCTGTCTTTCCCCAGGCCCAGCCTCTGTGGGACCACCAATGGAGGAGTCTGTGGCCCACGCTGTGGCGGCGGTAGGGGGTCGCCTGTATATCTCAGGAGGCTTTGGGGGAGTGGCCCTGGGCCGCCTGCTGGCCCTGACCCTGCCCCCTGACCCCTGTCACCTGCTGCCCTCGCCCGAAGCTTGTAACCAGTCTGGGGCCTGTACCTGGTGCCATGGGGCCTGCCTGTCCGGGGACCAGGCCCATAGGTAACCATGGAGACTGACAGCACGTGGGTGGGTGGGTGGTACTGGTGCCCTCCGAAGTGGGTTCTGTGCCAGGCCAGGCTTGTGGGGGAGGCCTCAGCAGGGTATGGTCTGGTTAGGAGACCAACTCACATGGGAAAATGGGCAGCTTATCACAGGCAGGGGCAGGCTTGGGGACCTCACCGAGTGGGGAGCCCTGTTTGTGGGCTGGGGTTAGCTGAGTCTGAACTGGGCCCTAAATGACCAGTCAAGTTTAGACCATGAGGGTTCAGAAGTGGGGCTGCATCTGGTGTATTTTAGAAACCATCTGAGTCGGGGAAGAATGAGATTGGAAAGGTGGGTGGGTCAGCTCAGAAAGGGCTTCCAGTGCCTGGCTGAACTGCGCTCCGTCCAGCTCCACAGACTCCTTGTCTGGAGTTTGGGAATCCAAACATATCAGGAGGCTGAAGGCGCTGTCCTAGGTTTAGCACAAACTAACTTGACAGCACAGTTATCCTGCACTGGTATGAGGCTACTAATGTGGTATGAGGCTACTAATGGGCTTTATTTTGTCCCATTAAATGTGTCACCATGTTTACTACAGAATATTAAAGGGTTTGATTTTTAGGGTGCTCCCCCAGACTCTGCTAGGGGTATTATGTAACAGCGGGTACACCCACTGCTTTTCTGAAACCTGGAAAGTTCTGAAACAGGTGTGCCTTCAAGGATTTTGAGTAAGGGATTATGGCCCTCCACTGTGGGTGATGGGGAGCCACAGAAGGTTTAAGCAGGAGAGGGCAGGGGCAGGCTTGTGAAGGAGGGGGTGGTGAGGGGAGGCTGCAGGTGGAGGCCTGGAAGGGGGAGGCTTGAACTGGGCTGCAGGGGTGGAGGAGGAGGGGATGGTCAGAGAAGAATTCAGGAGGCAGAGGCCTCGGTGGCTGGAGGGCCAAGAGGACATGGGATATCGTCCAGTGTCTCTGGCCTGGGTGATAGGTGGACGTGGGACCATCACCAAGTGAGTTGGGGAGGAGCAGGTTTGGGAGCCCTGTGCTGAGAGCAGTTTGGGATGCATATGTAGGACCTGCAGGACGGTGTCCACGAGGCGCCAGGAAGAGGCGAGGATGAGGAGGAAGGGTGGGGCCTGGCTGAATGTGATGAGCCAGACCTCATGTCTCCCCAGGCTGGGCTGTGGTGGTCTCCCCTGCTCTCCAATGCCCCACTCCCCCGAGGAATGTCGACGTCTGCGGACCTGCAGTGAGTGCCTGGCCCGCCATCCCCGGACCCTGCAGCCTGGAGATGGAGAGGTGAATGATGGGGGTGGGGGTGGGAAGGGGGCGTGGCTCAGGCACCACTGAGCTCTTCAGCTGGGATTGGGTGGCAAGAGCTGAGGCTGGAGGGATGCCGGGGGCCCTGACAACCCCGCTGAGCCCGTATCCCCCTGCCAGGCATCTGCCCCCCGCTGTAAGTGGTGTACCAACTGCCCTGAGGGTGCCTGCATCGGGCGCAATGGGTCCTGCACCTCGGAGAATGACTGTCGCATCAACCAGCGAGAGGTCTTCTGGGCTGGGAACTGCTCAGAGGCCGTGTGTGGGGCGGCCGACTGCAAGCAGTGCACAAGGGAGGGCAAGTGCATGTGGACGCGGCAGTTCAAGAGGACTGGTGAGCGCTGAGGCTTGCTCCCTGAGAGGAGAGTTTGGGGGCCTGGATTCCTGCTCCAAGGACGCAAGGGGCTCAGGGGCCTGGTTTGAGGGAGGAGGAGGGGAGGGGGCTGGGGGCCCGGACCTGCTTCTAATCCGTGTGCCCCCAACCCCAGGGGAGACCCGCCGCATCCTCTCGGTGCAGCCCACCTATGACTGGACGTGCTTCAGCCACTCTCTGCTGAACGTGTCCCCGATGCCGGTGGAATCATCGCCCCCCCTGCCCTGCCCCACGCCCTGTCACCTCCTGCCCAACTGCACCTCCTGCCTGGACTCCAAGGGTGCAGACGGGGGCTGGCAGCACTGTGTCTGGAGCAGCAGCCTCCAACAGGTACTGACTGCCCCCAGCGGGGTGTGCTGTGGCCCTCCTCCCTGCTGCACACTGACCTTTCTCCAACCCCGCCGCTGCTCTGCTCTACGGACGCCTCCATTTCCTTAGGGCTGGTCCCACCATCACACTTTCTCTTTCTTCCCACTTTCTCTTCTCTCGCCCCTTCCAGCATCTCTTTCTTCCCTCTTTGCCTTGTTCTTGTTTTTTGGGGGGGGTTTTTTTGGGCCACGTCACACGGCTTGGGGGATCTTAGTTCCCTGACCAGAGATTGAACCCGCGCCCCCAGTGGAAGCGTGGACTCTTAACCACTGGACCACCAGGGAAGTCCCTCTCCTTGCCTTGTGAGTCTCCCCGTCATGTCCCAGCGCCCCCTTCCTGAATCCTCAGCCCTGGTGTCTCTCCAACTCTCGATTAAGCTCTCCTCGCCCCGTCCTTCCCATGACTCAATACCATCTCCCTTCTCCCTCCCACACCTTTCCACTTTCCTTCTCCATCTCTTTCTCTCTCTACTTTTAGAAGTTTTGGTTGTAAGAAACAGAAACCCACTCGAGCTGGTGTTATAAGGAGCCGGGGGTATTTGCTGTTGTCTGAAGGTGGGAAGCACTGTTGCTTCTTCCTTCTCGGGCCGCCTGGTCTCTGATCTCAGCTGCTTTCCGCGCGTCTCCATCCTCTGGTTTCTCTCGGCTTGATCATCAACACACACCGCCTCAACTGGCAGCCCTTGACCCTCGGTCTGTGTGACTTCCTTTTTTTTTTTTTTTTTTTTTTTTTTAAAATATTTATTTATTTATTTATTTACTTGGCTGCGTTGCGTCTTAGTTGTGGCCTGCGGGCTCTTTGTTGCGGTGCGCAGGCTTCTCTGTAGTTGTGGCACACGGGCTCAGTAATTGCGGCACGCAGGCTTAGTTGCCCCACGGCATGTGGGATCTTAGTTCCCCGACCAGGGGTCGAACCCGCGTCCCCTGCATTGGAAGGCGGATTCTTAACCACTGGACCACCAGGGGAGTCTCTATGTGACTTTCTAATTCCAGAGACCACAGTCATCTCTGTGTTCTTCTGTTAGTCCACATTCTCAGGAAAGACTTCAGCTCAGCTCACGAGTTAGATGTCCAGCCGTGGTCCAGTGAGGTGTGGCCAGGGAAGGGAAGGAGCACTGCTTCTGACACAGCCATTCAGACCCACCCCTCATCTATGGCTATGGTCTAGAGAGATGATTCTTGAACATGGGCGTGGTCTGGGGAGGTACAGTCCACCCCTTGGCTGCCCAGTGCGTGCTGTCTCATAAAGTCCATTCCAAAGATGCCTCTGGGGGGAATTCCCTGGCGGTCCAGTGGTTAGGATTCCGCACTTTCACTGCCGAGGGCCCGGGTTCAATTCCTGGTCGGGGAACTAAGATCCCACAAGCCGTGCGGTACGGCTGAAAAACAAAACAAAACAAAAAAACCAAAGATGCCTCTGCCTGGCATGATTTAGCTGTCCCAGTGGCAGACACAGGCAGTCAACCCCAGCCCCACCCCAGCAGGAGATAAGAAAGCTTCAGCTACTGCTGTCATATCCAGAAACAGTGTCACTGGGCCAGAGTTGTGAGTCTGTCTACTCCTCATTCATCTGTATTGTGCAAGACTGTGCAAGACCCAACTGAGGTGTGATTACTCACCATCTCACAACCCAAGAGCCTACACGAGTCTTTGGTAAAATAGGAGTGCTATCAACAGACCCTGTCTGGGGTGTTTTCCAACACCAACAACCAATTCTCCAGTTCTCTGGACGCCAACTATGTGTTCAACAATTCAGTTAATTTCTGACACTATCTACCGGAAATCAGAGTCAGATCCCGCAGGTTAAAGTGTTCAGTTCCACAAGACTGCTCCCACTTCAGATGCCCGTCACAAATCCATGCTAACTGGCTGTAAATTGGGGGTTCCTACCATCCCCTCTGCAGGTTTGATAATTTGCTAGAATGGCTCACAGAACTCAGAGAAACATTTACTTACTCACACTGGTTTATTATAAAGGATACAACTCAGGAAGAGCCAAATAGAAGAGGTGAATAGGCAAGGCATGCAGCGTTTGCATGCCGTCACTGGACATGCCGCCCTCCCAGAGGACGCATTTATCAACCTGGAAGCTCTCTGAATCTCGTTGTTGTTGTTCTTTTATTTTTGGCCGTGCCGCGCGGCTTACGGGATCTTAGTTCCCCGACCATGGTTTGAACCCCAGCCCACAGCAGTGAAAGCACAGAGTCCTAACCACCGGACTGCCAGGGAAGTCCCCTGAATCTCATTGTTCAAGTGTTTTTATAGAGCTCAATCTCTCCCCTGACCCCCGGTGGGTGAGTGGGGCTCTAATCACTTGATTTTTCTGCTGACTCCCCTAAGTCACCCCGTAAGCATAAACTCAGGTGTAAAAGGGGTTCCTTATGAACAGCAAAAGACATCCCCACTGCTCAGGAACCCCTATGTGTTTTAGTAGCTTAGTACCAGGAACCGGGGACAAAGGCCAGATACATTTTTGTGTCATACCACACCGTCCCATAGGAAGGTCACCCAAGTTAGATGGGAGAATGTATGTAGAGCGTGGAGCCCGGCCTGCTATTCAGTAAAAACTCAGTAACATCCCCACGTTCCGCCCACTGGGAGGATTCCCAGTCTCCGCTGTCTGGGACACACCAAGAGGGTCAGTGCAGCGGCTGGGAGTGGGGGGTGCTCCCCGTGGGGCTCTCAGCGTGGCTGCAAGGGCAGAGGGCCCCTGCTGTGGCACCTCTAACAAGCAGAGGCCTCTCGTCCTCAAGCCTGGGGTCCTTCCGGTGATACACGTCCTCCCTAAATATTATTGAGATTTCCATTATTTGTCTTTATTGGAATCCCAGGGACTGGAAGGCAACACCAGAGAGCCTGCAGGCAGCTCAGGAGGTGTGAGGCGGGAGGGAGTGGTGGGGCGGCTGAATGGAGAGTGCGGAGCTGATGCTGCATGGGAATGTCAGAGGGCTGCTGCCAGGTCTTCTGATTTCTGGGAAAATCAGTTAAAACCGTTGGCTCAGGTGTTTTAAAAACACAGATCAATCATAACAGGTGCGCAGACCAGACCTGTTGTGATTTCGCTCAAGGGCAGCCTTATTTTAACAGGCAGGCATTGTTCTTCTGAATGCCTTTGGCCTCAGAGCCTGGGGCAGACAACAAGGTGCTCCCTTCTTCCCTGGCTGGCTGGCTGGCTTCTTCCCTCCTTCCCTTTGTCCTTTTACCAAATTCTTCATTGAGCACCTTCCTTGTGCCGGGCACTTTGCTAGGCTGTGGGCATATGTCAGCAGATGAGCTAGGATCCTGCATCTCTTCCAGGAACACAGGAAATGCAGTTTATGGTATTGGGCAGCATCACATTTGGCCACTAGGGGGGTCCCAGCAGAAAGTGCTGAGCAGACTGGAGCCTCGGGCTTCTCTTGGCCCCCTTCCAGCCTGCCCCTCTGTTTGTCAAGGGGTGCACTAAATTCAGATCTGGAAGCCTAACCTGGAGAAGAACTTGGCCATGGCAGTTCAGCCAGGCTCGGCTCATCACCGGCGTAACCCGTAGGGACTCAGAGCTCCGGCCACAGCTATCAGGGTTTTCTATTTCAGGACTGCATGGTTGCTTTGTTTCTTCCTAAGTGCTTCCAGACAGCCAGCCTAGACTAATCTCTTTCCTCCTATACTGTACTTAAGGCCCAAGTCGTAAATAAAATGCTCTCATACACTGAGGTAAGTTTCCAGGAGTGTGAACCTCGTTGAGCACCGTGTCTGGGTCCCAGGACACGATAAGTGATGGTGTGTGAGTTGCTGTGCAGCCCCTGACCACGGACTCCTCAACTTCCCAGCCAAGGGCGGGAGGATCCTGTTGCCCCAGCAGCTGGGTCCATGTTCTAAGAGGCTGTGGCTGGCAACCCCCCTCCTGATGCTTGTTTCTTTTTCCACCTGGGATCATTGCTGTTCTTTGACTGTAAGAAACAGCTGCATCCCAAGCCAGGTGGGTAAAGGGGCTCATTATACCAACACAGTGGTGCCTCTTGTAGCCCAGGTGGAAAGTGCAGCCAGGTCCTACCAGGGACTGGAGGTGGAGCCTGGAAAGCTGCCTGTCTACCTGTCTTTGGGGTGTGTGATTCTCCTCTCTGCTTCTTTCTGTCTCTGCTCTTTTCTTGCCTCTCTCTGTTCTCTTCATTTGCTGTCGTTTGTTCATCCAAGTGGCCCAGCCAGCCATAGTCTACACAATCTAGTTTCAAGGATGTCCCTAGCCTGACTTCTGGTCTGAACTTCTAGTTACAAATGCCGAGGAGGGAGAATGTGATGACCCCAGCTGATGTCCATTTTGGTCCACCCGGTTGTGGCCAGCAGGGGTGAGACCTCTGAGAAGAGGGTGCAATCCAGGAAGATACCCAGGAGGTGTTTGTTTGATCTTCTTTCTCTGCCATTTCCCCTCCCCTGTAGTGTCTGAGCCCCTCCTACCTGCCCCTGCGATGTATGGCTGGAGGCTGCGGGCGGCTGCTCCGAGGACCCGAGAGCTGCTCCCTGGGCTGTGCTCAGGCAACCCAGTGCGCCCTGTGCCTGCGGCGGCCCCACTGTGGCTGGTGTGCCTGGGGGGGCCAGGATGGGGGTGGCCGCTGCCTGGAGGGTGGACTCAGCGGCCCCCGCGATGGTGAGACGGGTTTTCGGATGGGGTGAGTGGGGCTGGCTCCTGTCTGCGTTCTGACGTGGGGTTTGGTGCAGAGGACGTGGAGGGCCGCTGGGGGCTCTCACAGGTGGCGCTCAGGGGAAGGGGGAGCAAGGGCCCGGGTGGCTAGGCTAGTGGTTCAGAGGCCTCCACAGTGAAGCCCTGTATCCTCGTGCCAGGGCTGACATGTGGGCGACCTGGGGCCTCCTGGGCCTTCCTGTCCTGCCCCCCTGAGGACGAGTGTGCAAACGGGCACCACGACTGCAACGAAACACAGAACTGCCATGACCGGCCCCACGGTTACGAGTGCAGCTGCAAGACGGGCTACACCATGGACAAGTGAGGCTGCAGGCCAGACGCGGGGGCTTGGGTGGGGTGCAGGGGAGCAGGGCCAGGCAGACCGTGGGGTGGGAGAGTCTGCGGGGAGCGGTAGAGGACGGGGCGTGGATCAAGGTGGGGCGCAAGAAAGCGTCCATGGTGTGGAGGAGGGCGTGAGGGCGGGGCTAGGTCGTGGAGGGCAAGGTTGGTCAGTTAGTTTAACAGGGTACCCTGGGAAGGGGGTCATCGCCCCTGGAGGAGGTGCTGGGCTGGACCCGGGGCAGGGGAGAGATGCAGCGGACCGGGGCGGGGGGTGGACTAGTTGCGAAGAGGGTGGGCTGGCCGGTGGTGGCCTCAGAGGCGCGGTGAGGACCGTGCCGACGGCTGGGTGTGCCTTTGGGAGGGAGCGGCCCGCTACCCTGCGCTGACTCCTGCCCCACCCCTGCAGCGTGACGGGGCTGTGCCGCCCCGTGTGCGCCCAGGGCTGCGTGAACGGCTCATGCGTGGAGCCCGACCACTGCCGCTGCCACTTCGGCTTTGTTGGCCACAACTGCTCCACGGAGTGTCGCTGCAACCGCCACAGCGAGTGCGCCGGTGTGGGGGCCCGCGACCACTGCCTGCTCTGCCACAATCACACCAAGGTGTCCGTCCGGGACCTCAGGCCCTTGCCCCGGGCCTCTGTGCCTTCAGCCTACACTCAGGCATCTTGAGCCTCCTTCCAAGCCCCAGCGAGCTAGGCACAGGGAGGAGGGGGCCTAGCCCTATCCCAAGGGAGTATGAGAGGACCCTGGGGACACCGTCTGGGTCTGTATCACAGAGGGGCCGCCCTGGATAGCGGGACAGAATTAGTACTGGATCTCGGAGGGGGATCCCGTGGAGGAGCATCTGGGATCCTGTGGGGAAGGGCTTTCTGAGCGCAACACTGGGGCTGAAGGGGGGTGAAACCCCATCACTGGAGGTGTGCAAGTGAAGGCAGAGGGCTCGATGGCAGATGGGCCGGGACTGCCCAAGCCAAATGCCTGCGCTGTTGCTGCCCTCCCCTGGTGCTCTCAGAACCTTCCCCCAACTCTCACAGCCACTGTGACTCTTCACCCGCTCTGACCGCCCTGTCCCTGGTTTCCAGGGCAGCCACTGTGAGCAGTGCCTCCCGCTGTTCGTGGGTTCAGCTGTGGGGGGCGGGACCTGCCGGCCCTGCCACGCCTTTTGTCGGGGCAACAGCCAGGTCTGCGTCTCCAGGAAGGAGCTTGACATGGCCAGGAGGGAGCCGGAGAAATACTCGCTGGATGCAGATGAGGTGAGAGAGGCTGGGGTCCTGAGCTCCTGGGTCTGAAGGAGGAGGGGGCCGGGGGCCTGGACTCCTAGTCTGAGGGAGGAGGAGGCTGCTGGGGTCTGGACTCCTGGCTCTGAGGGAGGAGGGGCTGGCCCATGCATTTTTGTGATCTCCCTGTCCTTCCTTGGCCAGATCGAAAACTGGGTGACAGAGGGTCCTAGTGAAGACGAGGCCGTGTGTGTGAACTGCCAGAATAATAGCTATGGGGACAAGTGCGAGAGCTGCCTCCACGGCTACTTCCTGCTCGACGGGAAGTGCACCAAGTAAGTGGAATGGGGGCCCGGAACCCTTGGCCCGCCCAGGAGGAATAGCTCTGGGAGCCAGGCTCCTCTCCCCAGTCCTCTGCCCTCAGTCAGGAAAGGATGAGATCCCCGCTGGGGGTGAAGACCTAGACTCAGGTGGGAGACCCTCTCCCTCAGGCCAGTGCTGAAACGCAGGCTATCGAGCAGCCCTGGTGGAGACTCTTGGGCAAAAAGAGAGAGGGCCCTGAGGGAGAGGCCTCAAGACAGCCTCCCCATTCCACCCGCTTCCTTCTGAATGGTCAGTAAGCCCTGGAGTTCGTCCGTCCTGGGTTCTAATCCTGACTCTGCCACTTACCAACACTGTGGCCTTGGGGTAAATGGCTTGACCTCTGGGAGCCTCAGTTTCCTCTTGTGGCCTCATGGATTGGAGCTCACGTTTGCAGCATCCAGCCTGGGCCCCCGTAGGTCTTGGGAGCTATATAACGCCCGTCTTCTTCCCTCTCTTCAGATGTCAGTGTAATGGCCATGCGGACACATGTAACGAGCAGGACGGGACAGGCTGCCCGTGTCAGAACAACACAGAGACGGGCACGTGCCAGGGCAGCTCCCCCAGTGACCGCCGAGACTGCTACAAGTACCAGGTGCGGCTAGAGAAGCAAGTTATGGGCCGAGGGCCCCATGCCCAGAAGAGGTCAGGGCTGGGATGAGGTAGCCTGGCCCAGGCAGGACTGACAACGTGGTTCCGATATCTGTGGTCATGGGGATCAAGGTCAACTTGATAGACTGTTCCTGAGCCCTGGTCAGTTTCAGGGCCCGGGCGGTGATGCTGGGATCCCAGAAATGAGCCTCTTGTGGGTGGTGGAGGTGAGGAGACGGACTCCATTACGGAGAGTCAGAAAACTCATCTCATAGTAGCTTAAGCAAAAAAGAAAATGTGTTGGCTCTCAAAACTGAGGTCTGGAGTCCACTTCAGGAATGGCCAGATCCAGGTGCTCACACAGTACAGTCAGGAGTCCTCCTTTCCCTGGATCTTGACTTTGCTCTCCTCTGGGTTGGCTTCATTCTCAGGCAAGTTTTCGCTCAAGTGGTGGCCCTCACCTGATCACTTGGGGCCAGTAGGGGATCTCATATTATTACTAATACCCATATGCAAATTCCCCTTGAGTCCATATCCCCTTTCTTCAGCTGGGGGACTCCTGGAGCCCCTGTACTGACTGCCTGGTTGGTTACTGTGTTGCAGGCTCCCCTTCCACAGAGGGGATATTCCATGTTCCTTCCTTGGAGTACAGCTCCTACCACCCCACCCACCTACCTTCTCTCTAGTTCCAGAAGGAAGAGAGAATCCCTTGCTCGCCTCAGTCTCCCTACCCATCTATTGGCAAAGATGCAACTACGCCCAAAATGGCGACAGAGCTTCACAAGCCTTACTGACCCCTAACATTTCCATCCAAGACCAGAATTTTTTCTTTCTTTTCATTTTTTTTTCAGCCTTGCCGTGCGGCACGCATGATCTTAGTTCCCCAGCCAGGGATCGAATCTGTGCCCCTTGCATTGGGAGCTCAGAGTCTTAACCACTGGATCGCCAGGGAAGTCCCCAGAATTTTTGCTTGCTTGATGCATAATCAAAAGGCCCATTGGTCTTTGTCAAAACAGAAGTTCAGAGCTTAATTCAGACCTCCTCCTCCAGCAGCTCTGTTGGTAGCTCTGAAACAGCAGTTTCCTTAGCTTCTAATGATAGCAGTAGTAGTTAGTATGTAAGGAGTGCCTGCCATAGATACAGTGGAGACAGCACAGACACGGAAGGCTCATGAAGGCTGTGCTAGGGCCTCGGTGAGCTGTGGGCATAAGAACAAAAGGAGGCTCAGAGACTTGTCCCAGGTCAGACAGTTGGCTGGGTTTGGAGCTTGGACTGACCCTGGTCAATCCCAGAGACTGAGTGGTTTCCACTGGACTGCAGGAATCAAAATAGCTGTTATCCAGCCAACTTGTTCACTCAACACCTATTTACTGAGCACCTAATATATGCCAGGCACTGTGCAAAGCACTGGGACACAGTAGGGAACAAAACAGGCAAAATGTTCTGTCCTCAGGGAATTCATGGAGGAGTCCAGCAACCAACAAATGAATATTTCAGACATGTAGTGTGTTAGTGATGAGCAGTAAGGAGGGAAATTAAGCAGAAAGGAGGGCGAGGAAATGTTGGGAGCGGGAATGGTAGATACAGTGGCCAAGGAAGGCCTCAGTGAGAATGTGACACTTAAGTAAAGACATTCACACATTTGGGGGAGGGGGCAGGCAGGAGAGCGATCCAAGCAGAGGCTCAACCAGTGCAAAGGCCCTGAGGCAGGACCTACCCAATAGAGTCCGGAAACAGCAAGGTTAGCAGGCAAGTCTGGCTCACCTGTGCTGGGCCTGTGATTTCAGTAGTGTTTACTATCTGTGTACAGAGGAAGAATCTCCAGTTCAGCAAGGTTAAGTCACTATTCCAAGGCCACACAGCTAGTGAGGAGGTAGAGCCAGGATTCAACAGAGCTCTTCATTGCTGTGCCTCAGAGTTCCAGAGGCTTTGCCACTAGGGTGCTGTGGTCACTGGGGTGACAGCAGGAACAGCAGTGCTGGAGTGTAGGGTGCTGTTGGTGTCCACACTGTGTCAGGGAAATCCAGGGGGGTCACAAGGAAGCTGCTGGGACACTGTGGAAACCCAGGGCAGGGGCTACTTACCAGTAGGTACAAAATACCAGTCCTCCTTGGAGGAGGGCTGGACCCTGAGTTCAGCTCTGATGGCCGCTTCCACTCCCTACCCTGCCCACAGTGTGCCAAGTGCCGGGAGTCATTCCACGGGAGCCCGCTGGGTGGCCAGCAGTGCTACCGCCTCATCTCCGTGGAGCAGGAGTACTGCCTGGACCCCACGTCCCAGACCAACTGTTTCCATGAGCCGAAGCGCCGCGCTCTGGGCCCCGGCCGCACTGTCCTCTTTGGCGTGCAGCCCAAGTTCACCAATGTGGACATCCGCCTGACGCTGGATGTGACCTTTGGTGCCGTGGACCTCTACGTCTCCACCTCCTATGACACCTTCGTGGTCCGTGTGGCCCCCGACACCGGTGTCCACACCGTGCACATCCAGCCGCCACCGCCTCCCCCAGCCCCCCCACCCCCTGCTGACGGTGGGCCCCGGGGGGCTGGGGATCTGGGGGGACCCGGGGCCGGAGGTGGGCCGGCCACCCCAGCAGAGCCACGAGTACAGGAGGTGTGGCCACGGGGCCTGATCACCTACGTGACGGTGACAGAGCCATCCGTGGTGCTGGTGGTCCGTGGCGTGCGGGACCGGCTGGTCATCACCTACCCGCACGAGCACCACACCCTCAAGTCCAGCCGCTTCTACCTGCTCCTGCTGGGCGTGGGGGGCGCCGGGGGGCCCGGCGCGGCCGGCTCGCAGGGCCTGCTCTTCTTCCGGCAGGACCAGGCCCACATCGACCTGTTTGTCTTCTTCTCCGTCTTCTTCTCCTGCTTCTTCCTCTTCCTGTCGCTCTGCGTGCTGCTCTGGAAGGCCAAGCAGGCCCTGGATCAGCGGCGGGAACAGCGCCGGCACCTGCAGGAGATGACCAAGATGGCCAGCCGCCCCTTCGCCAAGGTCACCGTCTGCTTCCCGCCCGACCCTGCTGCCCCGGCCCCCGCCTGGAAGCCAGCCGGGCTCCCACCACCCGCCTTCCGCCGCTCGGAGCCCTTCTTGGCACCCTTGCTGCTGACGGGGGCCGGCGGGCCCTGGGGACCCGTGGGAGGGAGCTGCTGCCCACCAGCCATCCCTGCCGCCACTGCCGGCCTGCGAGCCGGGCCTATCACCCTCGAGCCCACCGAAGATGGCATGGCTGGCGTGGCCACCCTGTTGCTCCAGCTGCCTGGCGGGCCCCATGCACCCAACGGCGCCTGCCTGGGGTCAGCCCTTGTCACTCTGCGGCACAGGCTGCATGAGTACTGTGGGGGGAGCGGGGGTGCTGGGGGCGGTGGGCACGGGGCTGGTGCGGGCCGGAAGGGACTGCTGAGCCAGGACAACCTCACCAGCATGTCTCTCTGACCCGTGGTGGGACCCTCAGCCACAGCAGTCGAGTCCCCTGAGGGGGCCGCCCTGGACTTGGGGCCCCTCCCCCTGGGACACTGTGTCCTCAGAGACCTCTGGTTTCCTCCCCCTGGGTGGGGTGGGGTGGGGGGGTCCCCAGACAGGCCTTCTTTGTTCTGCATTCAACAATTATTTATTGGATACCTACTATGTGCCAGGCACTGTTGAAGGCACTGGGCAGAGCGGGAACCAAGACAGCCAAGGTTCCCTGATCTCGTGGGATTTAGGTTCTAGTGAATGGAGCCCGTCGGCATGCGCGGGCACACGCGCACACCCACAGACAGGTGAGCTAGGCCATTGCGAATGGGACGAGTGCCGTGAGGTAGCAACGGGACGTGGCTGTGAGGAGCCTTGGGGTAGTCAGTTGGTCCCTGTGCGAAGCTAGACTTTAAGAAGGAAACTGGCTGTGGGAAGGGCTGTGGGAAGTGGGATCCAGGCAGAGGGGACTGTTAGGACAAAGGCCCTGAGGCGGGAACCAGCTTCTGTTATTGGAAGGATCGGAAAGCTGGCCAGTGTGACCCAGAGCAAGTGTGAAGAGGAGGTGAGGTCAGGGTCAGGCAGGGGGCGGATCACCCAGGGCCTGTGGGCCACACGTAGGGTTTGGGGTTTTATTCTCAGGGCATTGGGCAGCCATCGGACAGTTTTAGGAGGGAGAATGACAGGATCCGATGTATTTAAGAGGTCGCTCAGCTCTGTGGAGAGTGGACTGGAGATGGTGAGAGAGAGGCAGCAGGGGGACAAGGGATGGGCCAGATCAGGGAAGTGGCCGCGAGAAGAGAAGTCGGGAACAGATGCAGGCTGTGGGTGGAAGGATGTGACGATGGTGTGGACGTCGGAGTGAGGGAGGGAAGGAGTCCAGGCTGACCCCAACTTTGTGGCCCAAACCGTGGGTGGAAGGTGGGTTTATAAAGACGGGGCAGACTGGAGCTGTGGGGGGGAGACCAGGAGTCCAGCTTTAGACCTAAGATCCCCTTTAGAGACATCTCTTCGGGTAGGTCCAAGCAGGGAAACAGAGTCACCCGGGGTATTTCAGCAAAGGGAGCTGAGTGCGGGGATTGGCTGTACTGGTGAGGGATGCTGCCGAGAAGAGATGGGACAGTGAGGCAGCCCAGGGGCGAGCCAGAGCAGGATGCTGTTGCTGCCACCGCCAAGCTGGAGGGACGAGGCTCAGGTGGTGGTACCTGACCCTAGGACCAGGGTCACTGTGCTCAGAGGGGGCATAAGGAGACACAGCCCCTGCCTGAGATGCCGCCCCAGGGAGGGCAGGGTTGGGTGGGGGACACCAGGGTTGGGAATAGAAATGGAAGAGTTTTCAACATACAGCTCTCTTCCCAGACAATGCTGCCTTGAAGCAGCATCTGACTTTTCCCCAGGGCCCACCCTCACCCCAGCCACCACCTTGGACTTCTGAGCCCTCCTACCCCTTGAGGACCGCCTCTGCCCCCCACCCCAACCCCATCCTAACCATCTTGAACTTGGGACTCCTCCTTTCCCAAGACTCCATCCCTCAGCTGTTTTTTTTGGACCTTGGAGAGCTGGGCCCTGTGTCTTCCTCTCCGTCTGAGACCATGTGTGCTATCAGAGGCCGTCTGAAAGAGGGGGAGCGATGAAAGCAACAAATAGTGTGGGGAAGATCCAGTGTCCAAGTGCTGTCTGTGTGCAGCAGATGGGCTGTCTTGGCTTTCTGACCCAGCACCTGAGAGCTGGTTAAATCAGATAAATGTCCTTATCTTGGTGCCCCCTCCAAGCCACGTGGCCTGAGCCTGGCTCTTCACTGTCTCTCCTGGCGGGGGTGGTGCCACTACAGAAGCTCTTGTTCCCCAGGAGGGATGAACTGAGGGGAGATGAGGGCAGTGAGGCCTTCGACCCTTGCCCAGATCCCTGTCACAAGGAGACCCCTGCTCGTCTCAGGAAGGAAAACAGACTGCCTTGGTCCCAGGTTCGGGTCTTATTCTGGCCCCTGACGTAAGAGAATTCAGGCAGCGCAAAGACTGAGGTGAGGCCCTAGCACGGTGAGCTTTCTCTAATTCAAGTAGATTCTCACAGCCCAAACCAAAAGCATCATGGGAGCCTTTATCCGCCAGTCCCCCGGCCAAGCAAGAGCGCTTTTGCGAGGGAAGGTGGGAGTGGGAGATCTCCATCCCGTCGGTGGGCCTTGCTCAGCGTGGGAGTCTTGCTGGGAGTGTTCCTCAGTGTACTTACAACCCAGCCCCTAGGCACAGGCCGGCTGCTTCATCTGCTACTGAGCCAAGGACGTGACGATGTGTTGGATTTAGGGGGCCTGTGAATATCATGGTATTTTCAGACTTTATGAGCAATTTAAGGAGTTTTCAGGGATTACTCTGCCCGCACGTTTTGCCTTTATGAGCTGATAGTCGTACCTAACCTCCAAGACGTGACTGTGAGCTTACATTTTACTGAATACCAATGCTAGATGGCTCGCTATCATGATCTTTCCAACAATCAAATCTATGAGGTAGGTACCATGGAATCCCCATCTTGCAGATGAGAAGACGGAAGTTCATAGACATTATTTAGCTGTTGAGCGACAGCTGCCATTTGAACCCAGACCTGACTCTCACATCCATGTTCCTGACCACCAGGCTCTTCCACTTCCCAAGGAAGGACTGCTTTATTTAGCATAAGTTGACCTAGCTGTCTCAGCACAGAGTGGACACTAGGAGTAGGTGTTCAGAATGGTCAATATCTGCTCAGGATAAGGCAGAATTTCCCAACTGGGGAGCCAACTAGCAGTGGGACACGCTGCCTCAGGGAGTCCTGAGGCCAGTGGGGTCATCCCGCGTAACCAGAAAGGAGTTAAGGTGGTTATTCAAGACTCCTCCATGGGGGCTTCCCTGGTGGCGCAGTGGTTAAGAACCCGCCTGCCAATGCAGGAGACACGGGTTCGAGCCCCGGTCCGGGAGGATCCCACGTGCCACGGAGCAACTAAGCCCGTGCGCCACAACTACTGAGCCTGCGTTCTGGAGCACGCGGGCCACAACTACTGAAGCCTGCGCGTCTAGAGCCCGTGCTCCACAACAAGAGAAGCCACCGCAGTGAGAAGCCCGCGCACAACGAGGAACAGCCCGCGCTCGCCGTAACTAGAGAAAACCCGCATGCAGCAGCGAAGACCCAACACAGCCAAAAATAAATTAATTAATTAAAAGTGCTGGTCCTCTGCCAGGTCCTGCTAAATGCTTAGGGGGGGAAAAAAAAACGACTCCTCCATGTTGTGTTTGGACCCTTTGGTAAGGTCTCTTATTAGCAGTCACCCTGTGACTTTGCCTTCCTGAGCAGCGCGTTTGCACTCTGACTGGACTTTTCCTCTGGGGCACAGAGCCACCTTCCCTTCAGCTCCTGTCACTGCTATGCAGATGCCCCTGTACCAGTGCCCCACAGCATGTGTTCCTCCTTTTCCACGTCAAACCCTCAGCAGTTACCTCTCCCAGGTACCCACACACCGGATTGCAAGGGGCTTGTGGTGAAGTGAGAGAAAGCCTGGACACGGGTTGCTAGGGACCTGGATTCTAGCCCATGTGTGGCCACTGATGGCCTAGGGACTTCAGGAGAAGGGGAGAAATTTTACCAAGGACCTACAGCACTCCAGCGCTGTGCTGGGTCCTTGGCATGAGCCTTTTAATCTTCCCAACACCACAGCTGGGAGGTATGGGCTTGTTCCCCCATTCTGCAGATTCGGAAATTAAGTCCCTTGCCTAAAACTCAGGGCAGATTAGTAGACGAGTCCAGATTCCGACACAAGCCCGTCTGACTTTCCATTGCCCCCATGTATTACCTCTAAAATCTCTTCCCTTTTCTAAGCCAACGTCTCCCACCTGTGATCACACATTGTCTCCACCTCCACTGGGCTCCACACTGTTCTGGACATATAGCCGTCATCAAGGTCCCTGCTCTCATGGAGCTGACAAGCCAGTGGGGAGCCAAATAATAAAAGATTCGGTATGTTGGAAAATGACTGGAAAAACAAGGCAGTGAAGGAGGCTGGTGGGGAGGTAGGTACTTGCTCTTTAATGTAAGGTGGAAGCGGGGGGGGGGGGGGTCCCTTTTTTTTTTAAATTTTTTTTTTGCTGGGTGGGGGGTTCTTTGG